GTCTCATAATCCAATATCGTGATCGTGAAATTGTTCGATTTATGGTTCTCTAATCTTTTCACACAATAGCAACGAATTTTGTTCTGTATGCTGGATGATTGTGTATTTTGGGCATTGCGCTCAGAATGCTGTTATAATGGTCAGCAATTCTACATCAGATCATGATTTCCAGTCTACGATAAAACAAATTTCCAATCTTCGTGGCTCTCTCTTGTCCGCAGTTTCATGGCCACACAGTATAACGCCCGCTCTTGCGTAGTGCAGATTACAATATATTAATATTATTGACAAAAATGCCTTTTTTTTGTATGAATGCTGAACATCAGACTGCGTCTCTTCAGCACTCCAAGCAGAATCCAAAGCCCTGCTTTACTAGCATTAGATGCAAGAGAGTGTTCTTCCGCCCTCCTTTACACCATCCTGCAGGCTATCGACCCTGCTAGAGAACACGCGCGCTAACACACATGCGAACCAACAAACACTACATTGGCGAGCACGAGCGTACGGGGTATGGTTCGCACGTCCACTTACGCCCACACAGTGTGTTCGCCAGCTTGCCTCAGCTCGGTGACGCATGCTGGCGCGTGCCGGATTCTCTCCTGCAGGCATCAGCGCAGCTTCGTGATGCACTTCCACCAGGTTCTTGGTTGTTCTGCGCCTCAGTCAGCACCTGCCGGACACCTGTCGACAAGGTAAATGTAGGTAAGACAAGAGTAGCGAGTAGAATAGACGGTAAGCATTGACAGGTGTGTAGGTAAGACAGAGCCCACACCTAGATAGAGGCAAGCCATTGACAGGTGTGTAGTAAGACAGAACACCAGCCTAGGAAGAGGTAAGCATTGCAGGTGTGTAGGTAAGACAGAGCACCACACTAGATAGATGTACAGCATTCCTAGCGTGTTGTAGTAAGGAAAGAAACCACATCAAGTTAGAGCAAGGCATTGAACGAGTATAGAAGGCCAGAGCTCTGCAATGCAGTAACTAGTCCAAAGCAGTGAGCCATACAATACCTCATCACATTATTGAGTTCGTATTTTTCCTATGAAATTCCTAAGCTTCTTATTCAAGGTCAGAAGCTTAATATACAAGAGGTCCTACTAATTTAACCTAATGCCTATCGCAATACAGCGCCCTTAACACTAAACTGAGCATTCAGCTAGTCACACACATGCATGCTGCCTTAAGGTTTTAATTTCTGGATGTTTCGGTCAAGAGGACGACAAACTAGTCAGGATACAACAAAGAGAAATTGCTTTAAGAAACTAGATCGGCGCTAGAACTGTCACTGCGCGCCATGCTGTCTGTAAGGCAGAGCGATGCCAACATACCTTTGGGAAGAAGCGTGCCAGAAGAACTGGTAATGACAGGAGTTGATGAAGCGATGGACGTTCATCTGTCAGCACGGCGTCGATGTAGTCGATGAGGTAGGTGGAGCACTAGACGATCTCGAGTGCTTTTCTTTCGATTTGCTAGTAATTTTAGAGACACAGGTATAGCACTTTTTTTCTTAGCATTTAAAAGCCAAATTAACTAAAAAAATCACCTATAATTGATAAAACAAATGATAGTTCCGGCTAATTATTTATGCACACTATAAGATTTTAGTACTACTACTATTAAACACAAATACCAAAACATTCCATTGGCAATTTATTAAACATTAAGTAACTATACATTTGCAATCGTCCACACCTAACTACGCGAGTACTCATAATAGGAAAACATCAACATGCTAACTATACAAACTGACTGTTACACTAAAACCTCCGTTATATAGCATTGCTTATATTAAACCTCTGTAAAATCTCAAGCGACAGCAATAATGATGATGGCATTAAAACATTCACGCTCTGAATGATAACGTCGACCAGAGCTTTAGCAAAAGCAACGGAAATTGGAGAGGCGACGCCTTCCACGGCCCCATACACCTAATGAAAGGGAAGATATAGAGCTCAGAAAAACATCCTAACGTAATAAACGATAAACATACTCTACCTATATTAGCATAGCGAGTTCATGATAGCTTAGTATGTGGTAGCACCAGCTAGTCATGATTACACATGCTCGCTCTGCTCGTCATTACGTCGTGCTCACGCATCACAGCCACACAAGACTGACAACGTTGCAAAACCTCAGACGCGCCACCAAAACGCCCGGCAAGAAAAGTTAGGTCAACATACTCGAATCGCGCGACAAACAACAACACAAACTCCCCACCCTACAAACGAACAACACTACCCGCATACGAAATCTGCCGCGACATGAATTTTTCACGGCGTTCGTACATCTCTGGCACATCGTCGCATGGTGATGAAGCACACGCGCGCGGGCGCGCCCCATTCAACTCACGTTCAGGTTGATTGATGTCTTTTCGTGCATGATGCGCTGCGTTGACGCCATGCGACACACGGAGGTCGATGTACTTGTGGTAGGGACAGAAGAAGTCAGCCAACGCGCTGAATGCGTACGGCCTCGTCTTCCCCCCGTTAGCATCGCTACCACGCCGGCGCATCCGGAACGCAGCAGTGCGCGATAGCAGGCCGGCCCACGCCGCCCAACGCATAACAAGTGACGTGCATCAGTCGGTACAACGCAGTGCCAGCCTTCGTTATTCCATCTCAACTTTGATAAGCTGGCCGGGTATATCAGATATAACTATATATATCTCGCAAGAGGTGGTGGGTAATGGGGGCCGGGGCTTCCTCGAAAGCTGCTATCATAACAGGTTTGATGAAAACATTGGCCTAAGACACGGTGAGCTTCTTTCGGAAGCGCAAACTTACAACCAGAGAGCGAAGAAGAGAGAGCGCAAACAATTGCGCAATTCTCTTCTCCAGAACAGTTGCCATTCTGTTAGCAGTTCTGGCAGAAACCCGCTCACCTCTGGCAGCAAGTCTGGCAGAATGCCAGTCACTCTGCCAGGCAAGTCTGCGAATGGGTGTCAACTCTACTGGCAAAGCTCTGCGAGAATCGCCATCACGTCTACAGGCAGTCTGGAGAATGCCGCCTCCCCCCTACCCGCGGAAGTCTGGCAGAATACCTGTCACTCCCCTGCAGGCAAGTTCCTGGCAGAAATGCGTCACTCCTCCTGGCAGTCGCCAGAGGAGCCATGCGCATTCTCCTCGCGCCGTAAGTCATCGTCATCGCGGCGCGTGGATGCCATACGCTTACTCGACCTCCCCGGTCTGGACGTGCAAGAACATCTGCCAGCATCGGGTCGCTGCGGACGGAGATGTTGCTGCGGCCGAATGCCGTTGTTCGGCGCGTCCGCCCTGCCTGGCCGCCACGTCACGCCCGCCCCGTTGCCACTGGCAACGCTCAACTGCGGAGACGTCGTGATCATCTAGTTGCTCCCCGGTGAGAAAATTCCTACAACAGAACTTGACACTCACGACGCGTTCGCGCTAACAACGAACAACAACAAAGTGGTGCCTGAACAAGCGCCGAGATGCTACGTGCCCAATTGCGCCCACTGGCTATGGCTAATTAACACTTACTAACAGTATAATATATAGCTATGTTATACAACTTAATAGTTTTTGTATGTCGTCACTGCTACAACTACAGCACCTCGCCAGCACCTATGCCACCATTTATACAGATGGAGTTCTGTCGCCTCAACCTGGCACGCAGTGATGAGCTCGTCGAACGCCACGCCAGCGTACTGCAGCTAGTATCTCCGAGTCCTGTGAGACACTCACTCCCGAGACCATCACTACACTGTGGGCACTATTTCTATGACCAGACGTGCTCCTGTGCATTGGGCATGTCGTGTGATGCTCGGCTCGACTGCACCTCACAGCGGCAGTTGTTGTCTGGAGACTGCTGTGAGCATGAAGCGATGATGGGCAGCCAGCGCGCTGGATGCTCTTCGTTGGGATAGAGCAGCGCAGCATCTCACGGAGAACGTACTGTAAGAGATTGTAAGATGATGCCACCGCTGCAGCTAGTCGGGTCACGAACGGTAAAAGCTAGTGTATGCTACAGAGTATATATTGCCTAATGTGCAACATATGCACTCAGAATGCCAGACTACCATACACTTACACGCCGACACACATTTACTACACGTTACGTATACGTCTTGTATGTTGCGTGCGTGCGTGCCGCATATAATGTAGCAGTGTCTATGCTACACGTTGAGAGTATTTAGCCTATATCTATGTGTGCCTAATTACATATTTGCAGACAAGTACGATAGCTACACAAAAATAGACATCGCGCTTAGTCTCAATTCAGTTGACAGTGATAGTCCCTTTCATCCCGAACTTTTAATTAACCAGCTTGAGCCACGTTATCGTCAAACGACTACATAAGTGTCAGCGTGCGTAGTTACGTGGCTGTACTAAACTCAGCTGCGGCGTGACACGTACGAGCGAACCTGGCGGATTTCTGCCGTGCGGCGTACATAGGAGTGAGCAGGCTAGAGGAGCTTTGGCGTCCAAAACTCCATGCGATCCTTCCAGGGAGTAAACAGCTTGCTCAACCTCGGGCCTAGGCGAAAGCAGAAGACGTCGCGGGGTAAATTTTAAAGGAAATCATTTGTGTTATTTCCCGAGGCCGACGTTAGACGGACAAGCAATTAGTAGTGGCTTAGAATTACGTTATTAAGGTATCATTGTTTGGATAAACAAGGGGTAAGTTATAGTCAACATATAATAACACAAGCCATTGTATGTTAGAGACTCGCACAAGACATGAAAGAGATAACAAGCAGATTGATGGATGAGCAGCACAGAAAGAATTAAGGATTCTTATTCGTAGACCGTGTTATTTTAATAATTTACAATGAGCCATGTATAGCTAAGGATATATTGCATGCTCAGCACGCGAACATCAATACACATATCACATATTAATCTTTCCAACCTAACAGAAAGCCTCTTATGATATGAACATCTTGACCAAACACTGTACAGCAGTTTCCAGACCAGGAGAATTCGCGTGAGTTTCCTGACCGCCAGCTAGCTTCACTCCCGAAAACACTTGCTAAGCACATGGTTTGCCTCTACATGCGAATGAGCACTGCCGCAACCTCCCAGCTTCGCTGCCTCCTCTCCCTCACTTCTCACCCACAGCCCGTACCTTTTCTTGGAGTAAATTGCCGTTGATTTTATTCAATCGTGAAGCTTCAACTACTCGCTTCTGCCGTCAAAGTCTGACAAACCGTCAAAGTCAGCTTCGAAAAGCTCCTGTTTGACGGTGAACGTTAGCAGCACGTTTGACCTTCAGAGGTTGAGTAGAAATCAACCAAGTTAGCTTGCTAACTTATCAACCACCAAATGAACTTATAAGGATTTACGTGACTTTTCTTGTCGACGGTAGGAAAGTTTGCGCCATCGCCCAGCACACTCTAGCGTCGAATGTTGAGCACGTCAACGATATGGCACTGATGACGTGCACGCCGTCGCTCGGGTACATCGTGTGCACGTCGCTGAACGCGCAAAGTCACACGCGCGCAGTGATGAGATCATGCTCACATGGTGGCATTGTGAGTAGTATAATCGCCACATAATATGTATACGCACACACATATAATAATACTGTATCAATATAATAATATGGCATAATATATAACGATATATAAGGGTGACGCATATCACTGAACAGTCCGAGTGTGCCATATATAATATGTAATATATAAAATATATATAGAGAGATGGATAGATAAGGGTTATACGTACATCACTGAACAGTCGATGATGCTGCCATGATACATTGCTACCAATGCGATCTTCACTAGCTCTTTAACAGGATGCCGGTAGTACACTGCAGACGCAATGCGCACGGATCTATGAAATACTACACCGCGACGGAAGTATACATATTCAAGCCCCGTTCTCAATGCCCACATTTAATAGCTGATAGTTCATTCTTTTGTTCTGCATTTGACCAATCGCTTGCGCGTTGCATATTCCGCCCGTCTTACGCGATGTCATTACGTGGTGGTATCAGATCCTACGATCACACCCCGCGCCAACACCACATCGCACTACGAGCATCGATATCAGCAGCCAACATGACGACGGCAAAAATCTAGATCGTGCGTCGCCTGATATGCTTTTTCAGGATGACTAAAGTGCTTACCGTTGACTACAGCCGTAGACCCTAGAGCGTCGGCCCAGCCACTGCAGCGGCCCTTCAGCGACGCTGTGTACAGCTCGTACCTCGTGTCCTGCTTGAACTGTGAGTCATCTTCAGGGCCTTCCTGTTCGCCTCGTACTGCTGTGCCCGGCGCGTAGCACCCACGTGCATCCGAGATCTCATCACGCCCTCATTAGCTCCTCGACGTTGGCGCCTGGTCCGGCTTCAGTGATACGCAACCATAAATGGCTAATCAGTTAAACAAAAGTTTGTACAATTTTTTTCACATCAAATGTTAAATGGACCTCTACTCCAACGATACACTTTAACACTAATCGCCTCCATATGCTTACAGACCAGCTCCGCTATAATCACTGCTCACCCCACTCCCTATGCCTAATTTTGATACGTGACATTAACCGTATTGTTACACCACACAATCAACTTAATCTTACATCAACAATACTATCTTAATATTACCCTCACAGTATGCTAAATGTTATAGCTTACACTATGTCAATATTAACCTAAGATTATTCCCTCACATTATGCTTATGTCTACACTTACAAATGCGTATTTTGCCCTATATTACACTCTCACGACATATGCTAATGCTTACGCTTTCCACTATGCGCATATTCCCTCACATTATGCTATGTTTACACTACACAATGGCCATATTACCCTAATATTACGCTCACATCATGCTTATTTTTACGCTTACCAATGCCAATATTAACCTAATAATTATTACCCTCACATCATGCTTATTTTACGCTTACCACAATGCAATATTACCCTAATATTACCAGAACATTATCCTAATGTTACATCTACATGTTAATGTTTACACCTACTGTCTTAACACTACACCCCCCCCACACCGCAACCTAATGTTCCCACGCCCTACATCGGCACTACCTGCGCCGCGCGGTCGTGCGCGACTCACGTTTGCGTATGCGGTCGCGTAGGGGCTGATGTTCTTGAACGCCCACTGCATGTTCTGGTGCGTGGCGAGGTAGTGCAGTGAACGAGCGCGACTGCTCACGAGAAAGCGCGCAGCAGGCCGTAGTAGGCCGGCAGCATGACGCGGTTGAACAGCAGCTAGTGCGCACATCCTGGTCCTCGTGGTCGGCCCTGGGGGGGAGAGAGAGCAAACGCGCGGGGGCGACGCCGCCGTTAGTTCACCGAGAATCGTGCGCACCGTGGAAGTCTGTGCAGAAGGGTCACTTAACACGTTCCCCGCGGATCCACGAGTCAGCTCATGGCCAAAAAAATAAAGTTCTCCTATAGATGGCAGGGGCTGTACGCTTAGAAATTCAACAGGGTCAGTCTATACACCCCAGTCGTAGATGACATGATTTATACAATGCTTTACTGTTGTTTGGAACGTTATTTTGGGAGTTTTTGGGACTGAGGTAATGTTTTTGGTTCACCACGCCAAAGGGCGTTTGTTGTGAGAATGGCAAGTTCGTCGTTCAATGACCGCTGAAGAAGTTGCAGAGTTATGCGCTGATTCTGACAGTGATATGCCTGTTTTGATGTCTGAGAGTAAGTTTATATCTATATTATACTAGCCACTAATTATAAATAATTTTATAGCTAGTTAAACCTGCCAAAAACATTTTGTGTAATAAGTGACTAAGTGGGGAAAACGCGAAAATCTCAGCACAGGGCGGTAGGTGCATTGTTAACCAGGCAGCGTTGAACGTGTTAAGGGAAAATGACAAGCATGTACTTTTTTGGCAGGTGCGCATTCTATTGAGGATTTACCGATTCGATTTTGATGACGTTAAGACTGCCACTCGAGGAACATGCTAAAAGTGTCCGTTATAAGCAGGTGCCTATATAGTTAACTGCTAACACAGGTGTACTACAAGATTACAAAAAATAAGAGTATGAGTGTAGAACATTTATGGAAAGCTTTACTAACGTGTTAAATCAATGTATATTTGTCGATGGCAGGTTTTAGGCGGACATACTAGTGGGGAGAACTAGCTTAATAGTGGTTTTTAAACTGGGGCCGAGTGAAGACAGCAAAATGGCTTAAAAACAGCTTGTAATATTGTCATGATTCTTTTGATTTTTTTTTTACATGTACTCGTTTTCTAGGGATTTGTCCTCGTGGGAGAGGTATGCTACGCAAACACCTTCCTAGGAAACATGCAAAAAAAAAACTTAAATAAATGCACTAATGCATCTTAAATGCACCCATGACCTTCCGTACATATTGTCAACGAATATTCTTTCGCAACATTAAAAAACCTCGGTAATTTTGCGCCACACTCGACCACGCGTCATGCTACGAACGGGATCACTGCTCTGCAACCGCACACACCGATGAAAAGTAAGTCGGCTGTGACTGAAGGCTTACAGTATGTAGTTGAAGGCAATGTTCTTGGCAATGCGAGGGTCCTCGGTTATTAGCCGCACATTCTCTGGACGATCGAGGCAGGCTTGGTACCAGAATATTAACAAGGCCTGAAAGGAAAAAGCCCCATGATACATCGAAATAAAGTTGACATTAAATGAGATAAAATAATTAAATAATTAAATAAAACGATGAATTGGACATGTGGGAAACCCTGTGGGTAGCTCTATCCTTAAAGTTTTAAACCATTGGTCAGGGATCGTGTTTAACCTGTCCAGAAAAGCAATCTATGCGCAGCCCAATAGAACAGACCTTCCAAAAGTTACCGACATGACTAGAAAATAAATAAATGTTTAAAAAAAAGACGATAAAAAATTAGTGTCTGAAATCAGTTATGGTGAAACTGTGATTCACAATGAGCACAGGTAATACCATACTGTTGCCACACAGTGCTTCCCCCACCCCCACCCACCGACGTACCTGCTTGTTGTGGTTAACAGCAATCGGCGGCTCAGACAGCTTAGGCTGGAATATCTGCCAAAGCTCCATCACATAATGGCCAAACTAAAACGCAGAAACAGAACAACAAGGATAGACGATATAAACTGCAACGAATTGCGCAAGATGACATTACATGAGATTGCCTGTGGAAAAGTTGCGCATTTATGACGTACGTTTTTTGCTACACGTAGATTTTTTTCTGCCTGGCGACAACTACAGAACAGACCCTGGTACCTGACACGAGGCAAAAACTGCATTGTACAATATCCCTCATGCATTTGCTGATGCCTGCACAAATGAAGTCCCATGAAAACGGAAACGTAAGCTCTGGCGTACAAGCTACTGTAACAATAGATGCGGGCGAGTAACAACATCTATATGAGCGAAATGAATAGTTGCATGCGGTCTATTCAATGGCAACACTATCACCCATTGATGTAAAAATCTATTATATTCCATAAACATCTATTCATTCAGGGTGCACTATATATGGCTGCCTGTAGTGTTACATTACAAACCATTGCACTGCGATACATTAGCAAAACAAGCGGAGAAAGTAGGGACTGGAAAGAATAAAGCATTATATGGCTGCCTGTATTCCAAATGGCAAATGTTACTGTGGTTTTATGATACAAGCTATTGTAGCGAGAAATGTAAAAAGGCCAGTAACATTATCTGTTTTCAAATTAAAGTATGATGATTATCGTTGCAACATATTCACCTCAGGTAATTGTCAGAAATGATAGGAATCCTGCAAGTTCATGAATAAAACGTACGCAACATGAAATTTTGTAGCGTGAACCCTATTCTCCTCTCAAGTTCCCTTAGAAATATGCAGAATTAATTCTTAGTTTTCTATAGCTTATGTAATGTCAAAAACTAGCACACCATAGATAAAGCTGGGTTTACACTACCGACTTCACACAGTCAAATTGATTAATTGTACTAGTTTTAGTGTTGTACAATCGACAATCGGCAGTGTAAACGTAAAAGTCGCGCGACAAACTGGCTGGGAGGTGGGGGGTTGGGAGATTAGAACATGTTCTATTTTCCCAACTCGGTATTGCTGAACTGTATAGGTTTTTGCCATATGGGCCACTCATAGAACAGCAATCAGGTGTGTCCCTCCACCTAGGGAGAGAGCAAGTTTTTGCTATCGGCGCCACGCTGGCAGCATGGAATACATGCAAAAAGTGCATCCGTGTCACCTCGTTCGTGCGCACACTACGCGCCAAATTTTGAAACGTTTGCTGCCTCGCGGTCAGTAATGTAAGAGCTTTGAACATATATAGAGAGGATGGTAGAAAGAAGAAAAACGCCAAGTTGCCTGCATAAAGTCGATAGTGTAAATCCAGCTTAACCGACTGTAGTGTAACTACAGAGTGCCAAGTTGGTGTGACGCTATAACGTACCATTAGTTTTTCAGCTCTTGATACAAGGCAATAGGTCATCACAGCAAAATATGACATCAGCTTCATTGTACCATGCTGGGTAGCATCTTGAAAACAATTAGAAATAATCTTGAATTAGAATTATTAGTTTCCAACTTGTTTTTTGGTCTATGATTTCCATTTTCCTACGATGCGTTATCAATCCCCTACCGGCTATCAAAATTGTAAGATTTTGTAGCACACAATAACACAATGTACAAGTTTTTCATATAACACTATTTTGGGGAGATCTCTACCTTTGAAGTTGATGATATAATATTGATTCAGGATATAGAATATCATTATTAATTACGAGTTCACTGTAGGTGTATATTAGGTGAGAAGATCTGTTTGGCCACTTATGATTTGGATTTTGCAAACATCCCCACATGTCCCTTTGTCCCCACCTGTTGTCATATCCTGCTACCCTACCCCAGTGTATGATATTTCTATGGGATTAAAGTCTCTGCAAACAGTCATACACTACAACCAGATGTCAGAAAGGCTACAAGGACAGTTACCTGCATATATCCTAGCCTTACTCAGTAAGCTCAGCAAGTACATGTAGATCTGATGAAGAACCATGGTCGACTCCTGACTCATCTACACAACCAGACGAAAAAAAACCATTAACCCCAATAAGTAAATAACGATTAAACGTTAATCGCATCATTCCAGCTCAAGTTGAACTCCGATCTAATGTCACCTGCAACACACGTGCTCGCACTTTACCCAGGTTTTTTTTGCAGAAAATCTTCGCGCAGAGTAGCAAAGAAATATAGGCTGGCCAACGACAGAACTACAGTCGTTCATACACTTTGTCAATACTGCTCCTAGAGCTTGCTAAACTTTCATCAAGATGCAACCACGCTTCCAACGAATTTAAACAGCAACACTGTCACTTTCAAGCCGCAATAGTACTACCAGCTCAACCTGTAAGTAACGCACCCGTGATTTGCACAAAGCTTTACCCCGTCACTCATATCAACACAGCGTATCGATGTAAGCGAGAAAGTTAAAGTCATAAGTGACCTGTTTGGCATCGACTGCCATTGCCATGGAATCGCGATACTCACGCTCATGCCCTTCTGGGGGCTGACCAGAGTTCTCACGGCTCTGAAGTTCTGTCTGAACTGGTTGCAGGGGACGAGGCAGACCAGCAGGTAGGCGGCGGCTGCGGCGCAAAAAACCAAGTCTCGTTAAACTTCATTAACGTCACTAACGACATCCCGCAAGAGACACAGCGATGACAAATGTTAAAAAGAAGAGTAGACGCGAGTTCGTAAGATATGCGAGATGTATAAACAAACAATGCCACACACTAGTACCACAGTGACAACGTGCAACATGCTAATAAATTGGCAATGCGACGCGCAGACAAAAAAGGCCGAATTGTGAAGTTACATCACGCCACGACGAAGGCACACCATGTCGCGTTGACACCATGGCACGTTACAACACATCGCTAATCACAGTCATGGGTCGTCATGATACGCCGCGCGTCGCGGCAACCAGATGGCGTGTGCAACATCCCCACGTGCAGCGTTGCGTGACGCCGCGCATTTGCACAGACGGAGTTGACCGTCGACCGTCGCTGCGGCTACCGTCAGCAGCGCCACCTACCCATGTGCACGCGCTGGTTCGGGTTGGCGATGAGGAATCGCTCGACCCACGTGTCCATGTTCTGCAGCACCCAGCTGTGCGCGATCTTGTTACGTGGGACCTGAACGGCGAGCCAGTCGAGGCACTGCTGCGGACAGTACTCCACCACCTGCTCCCAGCCGGGCAACAATGGGCAACGATGAGCAACAATGAGCAACAATGAGCAACAACGAGCAACGATGAGCAACAATGGGCAACAATGGGCAACAACGGGCAACGATGAGCAACAATGAGCAACAATGAGCAACAACGGGAGGCAGACGATTGCCACGCGAGGGCAGATATGAAATGCAATAAAAAATATACATGTTAATAGGTAGACGATCGCCGTGCAAGTGCAAATATGAAATATAATAAAAATATAAATATACGTGTGTGTGTGTGTGTGAGAGAGAGAGAGTGAGTGTGAGTGTGAGTGTGAGTGTGTTTGAATGAATATATTCAAAAATATTACATCTATATTTCACTTCTTGTAGAATTACGAGTACACCAGTAGCACCTATTTTGGAGAGACAGTGTGTGTGTGTGTGAGAGAGAGAGAGAGAGAGAGAGAGAGAGAGAGAGAGAGAGAGACAGAGACCCGAGATGGCTAAAGCTAAAGAAGAGCAGCCAAAACTGAGGAAGAACAGAGAATAAGAGTGAGAATGAGAGATCGAAAGAGATGGGGAGAGAGAAACGCAAGAGAGACGTACCAACGTATACCTCGCCGATCTTCTTCATGACTAGATTAGTGGAAGTGCGGGTGGCCAGGGGGGCCTGCCAGCAAACTCCACCTAACAATCGACAGCAGCTTGAAGAACGGCTGACTGTCGTCGTGATTCAGCTTTATGTAGTCATCGCTGAACAGCATCGAAACAACCTGAAATTTAATCGAATAGTTTAATTAATCTTAAAATTAAAATAAAAAATTTATTTGAATTTAATACGGGAAAACATTTTAATTGATAAATCTTCAAATAAGATTTAATTTAATTATTGAGTGACCCAAGACACGTAGACACTTAATAAACAAACAGGACAATGGTGACCGAGTTGGTCAAAGGTTGGACAATGATTGTCAGATAACCATCTATTTGGAGCAGAATGTTAAAAAGTTGGCTATGTATTTATTGCCTTACATATCTGGAGTATAACTTAAGTACATGGATATAACATTAGTTATTCACCTATCTACCGTGTAAAGTTACCACGTGCAAACAATACAGCATTAATAAAAAACACACATCACCAGGAGTGAATAAAAAAGAACTGTTTTTTACTTCTGCTATCACGAACAAAAGTACTTAAAACCGACAGTGGTGCTAAATAAATGTGTACACAACAGGCCAGTATTTTTTATGAAGCGTTAACTGACACCCCAACTTAGTATTAACCAAGGTTACAGAGCAGACCAATCACTTGCTAATCAAATTGTTGGCATCATATCTGACAGTGTTTACCATCGCCGGAAATGAAAAAAGACGCCAACAATACCACATTCACAAGCAGTTAGCACTCACATGGCATTGCCAAGCTGTCGTTCCTCGACACAAGCTGAATATGAATTACAAGAGGCCTTGTAAGGTTGATGATGTCTCTGAAGCTGTGGCAGAGGAAGGAGAGCCCTGCCAAATCCAAAAAAAGAGAAACAGCGTTTTGTGGCATTGCAGATATGTGGCACGCAGCCTAACAGTACAGTCACTATGCCCTGTGTTGTTTATCACAAGCAATGAACAACTAATATAATAAGATCGCCTGGTGAGACAGAATACTATATCTTAGATTTTAAACCAGCTGGAGACCCTGTGTGCTTACTGATGTTCCTATAAGCTGCCGGTGGTTTACAAAAAGGAATTTAAGTGACACTTTGGATTAAAAGACATAGACTGCCAAGACTTCATACATTCTGCATCTATCAAAGCGTTTTAGTACTGTCCAGCTGTAGTGGCAGAAAAATTACTTGATTCACAAATAAGTGGGACTAGTGTTGTAACACTAATCCTTACCTAAGCCATAAGCCATAGACCAGTAGTATCTCTACTTGACACTTAAACCTATCTAACCTAAACCTACCCATACACTCTGGTAATCATCAGCGTGTTTTTTAAGCGTGAACCTAACCTAACTACCCCAACAAAGCAAATGCTAAATCTAACACTAATGAAACTGCACCCAATTACCCATACTTAATCCCAATTACTAAGCACTAACATAACCCCAGCCTCTCATCCTAACTGACTAACAACTAACCTAAACCAACCCTCAGCCCCTCATCCCTAACAACTAAACAACACTAACAGTAAACCTAACCTCCAGCCTCCTAACTCTAACCCATAACCCTAACTTACTCTAACCTTGACCCCAACACTAACTTTCAAACCTCACCCCAGCCCCTCATACTAACAACTAACTACTGAGCAGTAAACCTAAAACTCCAGCCTCCTATCTGCGAACCCTAAACCCAAACTACCTACCTTGACACCCCAACACTAACCTAAAGCTAACCCCCGCCCCTCATACTAACAACTAACCTAAACCTAACCTCAGCCCCTCATACTAACAACTAACAACTAACAGTAAACTAACTTCCAGCTTCCTCATCTAACTCTAACCCTACCCAAACTTACTCTACTTGACCCCACACTACCTAAAGCCTAACTCCCCCCCATACTAACAATCTAAACCTAAGGCCTCGACCAACCCTCATGCCGTAACCCAAACTTACTCTAACCTTGACCCCAACACTAACCTAAACCTAACCCCCACTCCTCATACTAACAACTAACCTAAGCCTCACCCCAGCCCTCAGCCTAACCCAAACTTACTCTAACCTTGACCCCAACACTAACCTAAACCTAACACCCGCCCCTCATACTAACAACTAACCTAAGCCTCACCCCAGTCCTCATCCTAACCCAAACTTACTCTAACCTTGACCCCAACACTAACCTAAGCCTCACCCCAGCCCTCATCCTAACCCAAACTTACTCTAACCTTGACCCCAACACTAACCTAAGCCTCACCCCAGCCCTCATCCTAACCCTAACCCAAACCTAGCCTTAACCCCAACACTAACCTAAACCTAACCGCAGCATCCTCATACCCTGCGGGGCAGGGACGACTCACCTTGCCGCCGGTGAGCTGAAAGTAGTCGCGCTCGGACAGGGCGAGGCCGCGCTCCTGCCGCGACTTCTCGACGAGCAGCGCGATGAGAGAGATCATCTTCTCGAGTGACGTCGGTCGATACTTCTCCTCCGTCAGCGCGATGATGTCGTCGTCCTCCTCCTCGTCGTCGTCCGACACCACCTCCACCTGCGCGGCGAGGGAGGAGAGGGAGGAGAGGGGGTGAGATGCGAGGAGGAGGTGATAGCACACGCAGAGATGCCTATTCGTCGCCCGCAGCGTGACCCACGACGATTACCTATACTCCAAATTGAGATGTCTTGGTTGCCGTTGCTCTACATACACTCTACAGACTTACCGACGTGACTTGCTCGAGACTCTCTTCATCTAATTTCTCGTCACGTTCAAAGCGAAATGAATAATCAGTCGTGTGGCAGACAGGGCGGTTACATAGACACATATAAAGCTAAGTGAATAGTCAGTCATGTGAGAGACTGAGTACTTGTGCAGCCACCTTCAAAGCTAAATAGATAACCAGTTATGTGAGAAACTAGGCCCATGAGAAACCCACCTCAAAGCTACATCAATAGTCTTGCAAAAGACATAGAGAGAGAGAGACAGAGAGGAAGATGGTAGAGCTAAAGAAGAGAGTAAAACTGAGGAAGAACAGAGGATAAGAGTGAGAATGAGAGATCGAGAGAGAGATGGGGAGAAAGAAATGAAGAGAGACGTAGCCACGTATACCTCGCCGATCTTCTTCATGACTAGATTAGTGAAGTGCGGGTGGCCGGGGGGGCCTCCAGCAAACTCCACCAACATCGACAGCAGCTTGAAGAACGGCTGACTGTCGTCGTGATTCAGCTTTATGATCGAGCTGAACAGCATCGAAACAACCTGAAATTTAATCGAATAGTTTTAATTAATCTTAAAATTAAAATAAAAAATTTATTGGAATTTTAATACGGGAAAACATTTTAATTGATAAATCTTCAAATAAGATTTAATTTAATTATTGAGGTGACCCAAGACACGTAGACACTTAATAACAAACAGGACAATGTGACCAGGTTGGTCAAAGGTTGGACAATTGATTGTCAGATAACCATCTTATTTGGAGCAGAATGTTAAAAAGTTGGCTATGTATTTATTGCTTACATATCTGGAGTATAACTTAAGTACTGGATATAACATTAGTTATTCACCTATCCACCGTGTAAAGTTACGACGTGCCAACAATACACATTTAATAAGAAAACACATCACCAGGAGTGAATAAAAAAGAACTGTTTTTTTACTTCTGCTATCACGAACAAAAGTACTTAAAAACCGACAGTGGTGCTAAATAAATGTGTACACAACAGGCCAGTATTTTTTAGGAAGCGTAACTGACACCCGCAACTAGTATTAACAAGGTATACAGAGCAGACCAATCACTTGCTGATCAAATTGTTGGATATATTTACATGTGTTTACCATCGGTCCGGAAATGAAAAAAGACAGCAACAATACCACATCACAGGTTAGCACTCACATGCATTGCCAGGCTGTCGTTCCATCGACACAGGCTGAATATGAGATTACAAGAGGCCTTTAAGTTGATGATGTCTCTGATCTGGTGGTAGAGGAAGGGCAGACCCTGCAAATCAAAAAGGGGAAAACACGTTTTGCATTGCAGATATGTGCACGCAGCTAACAGTAGTCACGATGCCCTTGTGTTTTTATCACAAGCAATGAACAACTAATACTATAAGATCGCACTGGTGAGAAAATAATACTATATGCTTAATTTAAAACCAAGCTGGAGACCCTGTGTGTTTACTGATGTTCCTATAAGCTGCGTGTGTTTTACAAAAAGGAATTAGTGACACTTTGGATTAAAAGACATGACTGCCAAGACTTCATACATTCTGCATGCTATCAAACGTTTAGTATGTCCAGTGTAGTGGGCAGAAATTATTGATTCACAGAAATGGATATGTTTTAACACTAATCCTTAACCTAACCATAGCCATAGCCATAGTTCTTACCTTGAACTTAAACCTACTCTAACCTAACCCTGACCATACACTTAATCTCAGCTGTCTTTTTAACGTGAACACTAACCAAACCTACCCCTAAGTAACCCAAGCCAAATGCTAAATCTAACACTAATGAAACTGAACCCCAACTTACCCATACCTTAATCCCAATACTAACCTAAACATAACCCCAGCCCCTCATCCTAACTACTAACAACTAACCTAAACCAACCCTCAGCCCCTCATCCTAACAACTAACAACTAACAGTAAACCTAACTCCAGCTTCCTCATCCTAACTCTAACCCTAACCCAAACTTACTCTAACCTTGACCCCAACACTAACCTAAAGCTAACCCCTGCCCCACATACTAACAACTAACCTAAACCTCACCCCCGCCCCTCATACTAACAACTAACAACTAACAGTAAACCTAACTCCAGCTTCCTAACCCTAACTCTAACTCTAACCCAAACTTACTCTAACCTTGACCCCAACACTAACCTAAACCTAACCCCCACCCCTCATACTAACAACTAACCTAAACCAACCCTCAGCCCCTCATCCTAACAACTAACAACTAACAGTAAACCTAACTCCAGCTTCCTAACCCTAACTCTAACCCTAACCCAAACTTACTCTAACCTTGACCCCAACACTAACCTAAACCTAACCCCCACTCCTCATACTAACAACTAACCTAAACCAACCCTCAGCCCCTCATCCTAACAACTAACAACTAACAGTAAACCTAACTCCAGCCTCCT